TGACGTCATAAAGGGTCGACGCGCGTTTAGTGGATTAAATACATGCCGTTGGGTTTGAAAAATAACGCATTACGGACATTAAAAGTGACAATCAGTATGAATAAGTCACAAATGTAAATATAAGTAATAAGGTATCATTTTTTGAGTTTTATTGAGATGTAAAACGGGTTGGCAAATGATCAAATCTTCCATAAAGCCCTTCGGGCTTTATGGGATTTGATCACGTGACCAACCCGTTTTACATCTACATAAAACTCAAAAAATGATACCTTATTTCTTAAACAGCTTAAGAGACCGATTACAGGCAAAATATGCATGCATATTACAAAACTGGTTAAAGATCTTTTAAGCTTTGAGGCGAAATAACTTGCCATCCTTATAGCGCCCTCTTTCGTCTTAATATGCAACCATGCGTAATTCTAATGCAATTCTTTTGTGAAACACTTTTTGATTGGCTAATGCACTGATGTTTGAAGCAGTAAAACGAGCATTAAGGTCAAGATCTAGTAAATGAAAGGTGCCTACAGATTTATCAAACTTGAGAAATAAATTTCTTTATTGATGCTTTACAACTTTAGCTTGGTCAAATAAGGTGTTTCGGAGCATAATATTGAAGGTTAACAAGATGAAAAACTGTATTTTAAACTGTCATTTTCAATGAAAAATTAAGAAAACCAGTCATGAATATGGGAGTTTTTCTCATATTCGACAAAGAAAATGTATCCAGAATGCCTACAGTCTCTCAGAAAACGGTAATTAGTATGTTCATGGCCTCTTCTTTAAATTAATATCAAATTTAATATAGGTATCCGGTTTACTTTTCATATGATTTCAAACTGAATGTCATGAAAATACCCTATTTTCTACATAATTCTGCTAAAGCCGTAAAGTACGGGAAACAGAAATTTGAAATCGATTATGACGTCATAATGGATCTAGCATCAAAAAAGTAGTCTCAAGTTATTTACTAGATCTTGACCTTAACGAGCTTGAACGCTTTTTTATTGTGACGTCATAATAGAGCGACGCAAAAATACAATGCTCCGTGACGTATTTCATGTAACAAAATTCAACAAAATAAGACGTAAACAACAAATAATATGCATGGATTGCATTAGAATGGGAATAACTAAACTTTTAATTTGGTATTTGCGACCGTTAATGCTGATTTAACGGTCGCAAACATCCGTTTTACCGGCTCCGCTTACGCGTCGCCGGTAAAACTCCGTTTGCGACCGTTAAATCAGCATTAACGGTCGCAAATACCAAATTAGAAGATAGTTATTCCCTAATTTACAAATCACGAAAGTACAATTTATATTTCACAAGTTGAATGACAAAGCGCAAGTCTACGAATTACACGTGATCATTCACATAACTTGCATTCACATTTTACAAGTTAATATGTTGGATAATTTACAATTAACAAATTGTGATAGAACAATCGACAAGTTATGAAATTATGATATACAATTTACATATAGAGGTTTCAATGTGTACTTTTTATGAATTACAGAGTTGGGATTTTGAATCCGTTGGCTTTCCATACACTGAGATGTTTACATATGAGTACTAGTAACGTGACCCTGCTGTTACTCCTCCTAGATAGATATACATTTAGGAAATTTCCAGTGCAAAGAAAGATAACTCTGTTTACAAGAGGTTCATATGCCACAATGCTCACCTCAGTCACACTGACCGTTTTTACATAAAAACATTGTTTGCTCTTTACTCTCTTATAGCGAGCGCAGCGAGCGTCGCGAAGCGAGCTCAATAGACTAACGTGTAAGAACAGAGGAAATTCGGATTGAAATCTGTACATACGTCAGCCAATTTTCTCTGTGCAACATTCTTAGAATTCCTGCAGTACCCAATGTCCTTTGCGCGAATATTGCCGAATAAATAAATAAATAACAACGTAATGCATATATCAGGCTTTCAGTTTGTAGAAATCTTTCAAAGAAACAAGAAATAACTCTGCAATGTTTTTCGACAAAAATTGCACTAGTTCTATAGTTTTAAACAGACGCTCGGCTGTCTCCGTAAGCTCCGACGAGCTTTGTGACGTCATATGACGTCACAGCTAGTCGAGATGTCTCGTGCGGCTTGACGTTCGAAGTGGCTGATCTCAAGTGTTTTTGATGGTACAACTGCGCTCGCCCCAACGGTCACACCGTAAAACATATTAAGCTGTTTATTTAAGAAATAAGGTATCATTTTTAAACATCTATCGGGATATAAATACGGGGTGGTCACGAGATTAAATTCCATAAAGCCCGAAGGGCTTTATGACGAATTTAATCTCGTACCAACCCGTATTCTATTGCAATTGTTTTGTAAAACACTCTTTGATTGGCTAATTAACTGATGTTTAAAGCAGTAAAACGAGCATTAACGAGCGTGAAAGCTTTTGCATTGTGACGTCATAATAGAGCGACGCAAAACACAATGCTCCGTGAAGTATTTCATGTAAACAACAAACAAAATACTTGGATTGCATTAGAATGGGAATAACTAATCTTCTAATTTGGTATTTGCGACCGTTAATGCTGATTTAACGGTCGCAAACATCCGTTTTACCGGCTCCGCTTACGCGTCGCCGGTAAAACTCAGTTTGCGACCGTTAAATCAGCATTAACGATCGCAAATACCAAATTAGAAGATAGTTATTCCCTAATTTATAGCCCGATAGATGTTTTAAAATGATACCTTATTACTTATATTTACATTTGTGACTTATTCATACTTTATAATTGCCTGATTGTGACTTTTAACGTGTGAAATGCATTATTTTTCAAACCCAACGGCATGTATGTAATCCACTGAACACGCGTCGACCCTTTATGACGTCACTGAGAAATTACGTCGAACGTTTATCCATACGCACATCTATGACCTCTTGACCCCGTACTGGTATTTATACAGATATAGATAGACATACGCATTGCTTTCAGTAGTGTTATATAAGGGAAAACATTTGCAAATGTAAATATTCTTATAAAAATTAAATCAATATTGACATCCCCTCGAGAGATTACACTGATGTCTGATCCCGTATTGTTACATCCATGGGACATAATACCAGTAAAGTCTAACCCCCATCACTGGAAATTAAATATGATTAATAATAACTCTGCTTTTCTGATTTGAAGGCCTTTAAATCGTTTTAATCAGACTCACAATATTGGAAGGAGGGAGTGTAAAAAAATATGAATGTTTTGAATTCTCACATACGGTACCTAATTTCGCCAATTAAATATAATAAATGAAAAGTTCTTTCTATTTATGTCTTCACACTAAAACAAGCGACATTACTCCAAAGTTTCTGAACTTTAACTTTCATTTATAAATTTGGAAAAATCTAAAAATATAGGGTAGTGAGTTCTGGCATATAAAATGTTTATACCATAATGATAACATCTCAAACAAGAGGCCCAGGGGCCACAGCGCTCACCTGAGCACATCAGGCTTGAATTTACTCCACCCCCCCCCCTCCAGGCGTTCATCATTTGAACAAACTAGAATCTACACTACCTGAGGATGATTCCATATAAATATCACAAATCATAGCTTTGAAGTACTTGAAAAGAAGATTTTAAAAGGTTTCCCTATATATCCCTAGGCTATGTAAAACTTGGGTCGGTCATTTTGGCCCCACCCTTGCCCCGGGGGTCATGATTTGAACAAACGTGAATCTACACTACTGAGGATGATTCCACATGAATTTCATCTTTCCTGGCCCAGTGGTTCTTGAGAAGAAGATTTTTAAAGATTTTTCCTATATATTCCTATGTAAAACTTGGGTCGGCCATTTTGGCCCCACCCTAGCCCCGGGGGTCATGATTTGAAAAAACTTAAATCTGCACTACCTGAGGATGATTCCACATGAGTTTCATCTTTGGAGAAGAAGATTTTAAAAGATTTTTCCTATATATTTCTATGTAAAACTTGGGTCGGCCATTTTGGCCCCACCCTTGCCCCGGGGGTCATGATTTGAACAAACTTGAATCTACACTACCCGAGGATGATTCCACATGAGTTTCATCTTTCCTGGCCCAGCGGTTCTTGAGAAGAAGATTTTTCAAGATTTTTCCTATATATTCCTATGTAAAGCTTAGGTCGGCCATTTTGGCCCCACCTTTGCCCCGGGGGGTCATGATTTGAACAAACTTAAATCTGCTCTACCTGAGGATGATTCCACATGAGTTTCATCTTTCCTGTCCCAGTGGTTCTGGAGAAAAAGAGTTTTAAAGATTTTTCCTATATATTCCTATGTAAAAAATGGGTCGGCCATTTTGGCCCCACCCTTGCCCCGGGGGTCATGATTTGAACAAACTTGAATCCACACTACCTAAGGATGATTCCACATGAGTTTCATCTTTCCTGGCCCAGTGGTACTGGAGAAGAAGATTTTTAAAGATTTTTCCTATATATTCCTATGTAAAACTTGGGTCGGCTATTTTGGCCCCACCCTTGCCCCGGGGGTCATGATTTGAACAAACTTGAATCTACACTACCTGAGGATGCTTCCACATGAGTTTCATTTTTCTTGGTCCAGCGGTTCTTGAGAAGAAGATTTTTTAAAAATGTCATAAATTTTTCACAAATTCATAATTATCTCCCCTTGGAAGGGGGCGTGGCCCTTCATTTGAACAAACTTGATTCCCCTTTACCCAAGGATACTTTGTGCCAAGTTTGGTTGAAATTGGCCCAGTGGTTCTTGAGAAGAAGATGAAAATGTGAAAAGTTTACGACAACGACGACAACGACAACGACGACAACGACAACAACGACAGACAACGGACAAATTTTGATCAGAAAAGCTCACTTGAGCCTTCGGCTCAGGTGAGCTAAAAATTCTACATGGATATAATATCCAGAGACTTGACTCATGTTCTGAAGGTGTTTAAATCCTCACTACAGACCAGGAAGTATAAACACCTGACAGGTAGATAACACAGGTAAGTGGGTCACATGATCAGAGTTTATACACAGCCCATATAGAGATCGATAGACAGGACGGCCGCCATTACTGAAGGTAACAAACATTGAAGTAATTGAAGCATTCTGATTCTCAAATGTAAAAAATGTAAATTCTTGAAAATTTGTACTATAAACTTGAACCATGGGAACAAAATTCCCTTCGTAAAAAGATTCAATGTGTTAATCAATCTTTTACATATCAAATGAATTGTTTATCTACAATGTAGCTAAACAAATCATTTGATATACACAAGATTGATTTACACACTGTGAGTGTCGATGATTGAAGAAACATACATGTACACAGGACTCGAAGCAATTTAGGCCCGCTGGTTTGGGATTAGTGAATTTTTAATCTAGGCAAGTGCATTGTAGAGGGCAAATGTCTTTTGGGTCAGTGTTTCTATGCATAAAAATCAATTTCTAGTCTGACCAGTTAACCCGACAGGGTTATGCGTCCAAGTTCGGTTGTTTCTTGTTTCGTTAAGTTGTACTTTTATGTAACACAATAAACATGTAAACAAAATCATGAAAGTATTACTTATATTAATTTTTATTTTGGTATTCATGGCAATGTGAGACAATGTAAGGACAGAATTGACCAGCTAAAACTTAAGGTAATAGCCCGAGTGACAAGTGAAAAAATTGTTTTTCATAGCCGTGATGTACCGGCCGGTATATACATGTATCTGGAAAACGTGTCTACAAATATATGGGAAAAGCCATTACGTGCCTCGGCTTTCAAGGTTGTCCTCTAGTCTGACAATCTGACAAAGGCTTTGTTGTCCGAGTCTGCCAAATTTAATGTTGCCCTCAAACCCCATTCAATAAATGCATAACCATGATAATCTGACATAAATGTTGCACTTTTATTGTTTCAGTCACAGAATCTAAAGATGGACCCCCGTACCAGTGCCCAGGACGTGATGCGATGTGACCTGTGTGAGACCGCTGTGGTACAGATGCACTGTGATACATGTCTTGTCAACCTGTGTACAGCTTGCGTTGGGAAACATATGATTTCTGATGAATCTAAGGACCACAAAGTCGTCAAATTTCAGTCCAGGAAATCTACCCCCCTCTACCCTGGATGTAATACTCATAGCAAAGAACGATGTAAAATGTACTGTAAACAATGTGATATTCCTGTCTGCATCAGCTGCATTGAATCCAATCAACATTTAGGTCATGAATTATCTAATCTCTTGCGAATTTTGGATGAAAAGAAGGACATTTTTAAAAAGGAAAGAAATGAATTAAATGATACAATTTACCCAACCTACCAGGACATTGCCTCTGATGTACAAAACAGAATGAGTCAGTTAGAAAAGGAATATGGAGATCTATCAACAGCCATAACAAAACATGGAGAGGACTGGCACAGAGAAATTGACAAACTTGTCAAGAAACTTAAAGCTGAAGTTGATGAGATGAAAAACACACAGTTACAAACTCTACAGAAACAACTGGATGAAATAAACAAGACAATGTCTGACATCAAGGATGAAATCAAATCAGTTGAAATGGCAATAGACACAAATGACTTGTCAAGACTGTTCAGTATAACATCCAATGTACAAAGATACAGAAATCTTCCACCCAAAATTATGGTATCTTTTCCCAAATTAATTCCTGGAAAAATCCAAGGAGAAGAACTAAATAAAATGTTTGGAGCCGTATCATCAAGTTCTTTTACTTCAGATAAACATGGCTACAGAATGAAGACAACACAGAAATCACCAGAAGCTGGATCCTCCCCTCCAGTCAAACAGCTGCTTGATGAACCAGAGACTGTCAACACCATAGACACTAGGTATGATAACCTTTACAACGTGGCCTGTCTGAGTGATGAAGAAATCTGGACAAGTGGACATGACAGCACCATGAAACTCTTCAGCATCAATCAGGGATCACTACTCAAGTCAATCACAACCAAGTCAGGGAAAATACCATATGACATAGCAGTGACAAAAAGTGGAGATCTAGTTTATACTGATTATGATGATAGAACTGTGAACATTGTGAAGAATGAGAAGATAGAGGAGGTGATCAGACTACAGAACTGGATACCTAAAGGTGTCTGTAGTACCTCCTCTGGTGACCTCCTGGTTATCATGGACAGTGATGATTACAAACCAACAAAAGTTGTCCGTTACTCTGGCTTCACAGAGAAACAAACCATTCAGTTTGATGATCAAGGTAAACCTCTATATTCATCTGGTGGTTATTACAGATACATAAATGAGAACAGGAACCTAGATATCTGTGTGTCTGACAAAGGAGCTAGAGCAGTAGTGGTGGTCAATCAGGTCGGGAAACTGAGATTCAGGTACACTGGACATACTCCTGCTCCAAAGAACAAACCATTCAATCCACGAGGAATCACCACAGATAGTCAGAGTCACATCCTTACAGCTGATGCTAACAATGAGTGTGTCCACATCATAGACCAGGATGGACAGTTCCTCCGTTACATAGACTGTGGACTGAGTGAACCCTGGGGACTGTGTACAGATACAAATGACAATCTGTTTGTTGCTCAATTGAGAAAAGTGAGAAAAATCAAATACCTGCGGTGAAATGCATCACTGAGTTGTATTCTATATTAAATAAAAGATATAATATTACCTATATACAAAATATGTATATAAGGAAACTTGCATTAACAAATTTTTTTTAATCTCATAGAGGAATTGGAAACACTTCCTTAAAACAAGGTAAAACAAGGTCATAACAAAGTGCCAGGGATAGGAAATTTTGCTTTGTAAAAAGCAAAATTAGTTTTATCACTTAATTTCATAATTTATTTACAACTTACAGGGAATGAAAATCACTTCACTATAAGCATCTATTCATTATATTCTCATGTGTTCGCTTTAATATGTTTATACTGTATATAAATTGTATGTTGTTTGTGTATGTACACAAAGAGGGAAAATAAAATGCTAAAACAATGTACATGTAATTTCTTAATGTCATGTCAGAAATAATAACAAGTCCATGAGCCCACCATATGGCATGCCTCAACAAACAGTGTACTACAACTTCAAGCATCTGCTATGAATAGTTAATGAGAAAACTGCGACGAGAATTTGTTTTGTATGAAACAGACAGATGCACAAACAAACAGGATGTTGACATCGGATTTCACCGAAAATGTATCCTAGCATTTTGCATGCCTCAGAAAAGATTTTTTTAAAATTTCAAGCATCTGCGATGAGTAGTTGCTGAGAAAACTGTGACGAAAATTTTTTATGTATGAAAAAGACAGACGCACAGACAAACAGGTAGTTATTTGACCAAAATTGTATCCCATCGTATGGCATGCCCCAGAAAAGATTGTGTTAAAATTTCAGGCATCTGCAATGAATAGTTAATGAGAAAACTTAGAAGAAAATTGTTACGCATGAAACGGACAGATGCACAGACAAAGAGGAAGTTGACATCGGATTTGACCAAAAATGTATCCCACCGTATGGCATGTCTCAGAAAAGATTGTGTTAAAATTTCAAGCATCTGCGATGAGTAGTTGCTGAGAAAACTGACAAAAAATTGTTATGCATGAAACGGACAGATGCACAGACAAACAGGAAGTTGACATCAGATTTGAACAAAAATGCATTCCACCAAATGGCATGCCTCAGAAGATTGTGTTAAAATTTCAAGCATCTACGATGAGTAGTTGCTGTGGAAACTTTGACCAAAATTTATCGACAGACACATGGACACACAGACGGACAGACACACAAGGGTAAAACAGTATACCCCCCTCTCCTTCGGATCGGGGGTATAAAAACTGACCCCAATATTGTGGCCCTAAACCAAAATAGTAAGGCCTGAGCAAATTTTTAAAATCCAGGCCTTTTGATATCATTGACAGCTGCTTGAGAAAAAAGATACCATAGAGTCTGACACAACTGTTTCATACTTGGATATTTCACTGGAAAAAGACATTAATGGTAATCTTAAAACCAAGCTCTATGATAAACATGATGACTTTAACTTTTCGATCATCAACTTCCCTTACTCATGCAGCAATATACCTTCATCAAATGCATATGGGGTTAATATATATCAGTTGATTCGATACACAAGAGCATCCTCTGTGTATGAAAGTTTTCTAAAATGAGGTAAATTATTGACAAACAAGTTGATGAAACAAGAATATCAGCAGTCTGGTTTAAAGTCATCATTTCGCAAGTTCTATGGTTGATACAATGACCTTGTCAGTAAATACAATTTATCATTGAGTCAAATGCTGACTGACGTTTTTCATACTAATTGTTTATCCATTATTTATATAATGTATTGACGACGGATTTTTCCGTTAATCCCGATCATGACAAGGAGCACACGGCGGGTATGACCGGTCAGGAGGGGATGCTCACTCCTCCATAGCACCTGATTCCTTCTCTGATGTTTTGGAGGTCCGTGTTTGTTCTGCTTCCATTGTGTATAGTTTTATGGATTTTGATATTGAATACTGTTCATCTCCATATCCTTCATCAAGGCAATACGTTGTAGTTCCATTAGTGAACTCTTCAGAATTAGAGGCGCGTTTGGTCGTCTGACTGGGACAACATGGCATTGCGGATAATACATGTGGTAGGATTGGATTTTACATAGTTAGTAAATAAGGATAATTCTTATTGGTTACGATTGTTTGTTTTACATTCGGAAACTTTCTAGCTTTATACAGTGATTTGGGTAACGTCCTTGTCGGGGTTATACTAGAATGCAGATTTTGATTGGATAAGAGAGACACACCTTCAGACCGCGGTGTATTTAAAGTCCAGCATTTCACGTTTAGATCAGTTGGTCTGGAACCTTCTCAAAGGTTCGTACCAGCTCACTTTTTGATTAGAGGGGTGGATCCCGGTCCCTGTCTCTGTCTCGTTCAATCGTTCATCATTATCCTTTTTGTTTTCCTTATTTTTACGTCCATTTTCCAGTTCCTTATTTCTATTTTTGGTAAACCGGTTAGGTTAGGCATAGTAGATTTTTCGTGTAGGGGTGGGTCATTTTCATTCGGACTTAGCGTTGGGTAGGACGGGCTCTGGACATCGTACATTTGTTAGGTAGGCACTATTTTTATTGAGGCTCATAAGTACAAGGTCGTTAGTACATCAGTTTTTGTTGTAAATAAATAAATGTCATATTTTTGTGCTGTTAATAAAATACATTTGTGGTCATAATAAATACTTGTTAATTTGCAAACTCTTGTTATTAAAATTCTTGGGTTAGTAAGTCACTTTCGTGACTATATTGAAATCAAGAGGTTTATTGGTTAGTAAGAAATAGGAATAAAACGCGAAGTACTATTATTAATAAAGAAAGTGAGTGATATTAAAGAGGTATTTTCATACGGTCATTTTCGCTACACTGGTATAGTGGAATTTCCTAAATTGCATTGATTCCATGTAGCGAATTCCGGTTACATTGGTGCCGTGACGGTCCCTGGGCGTGGAGATTATTGTCTGTCAAAAATGGTTATTTTGTAAGGTAAGATAGACAAGACCTTCCAGGGGTGAACCTGGGTTAGTGATAATCGAGAAATGAATTTATTTCCTCATTTGTTTTTTACATTTTTTAATTTGGTTTGAGTAAAGCTCTGTTTACAATACCAGTATGAAATAAATACATTCCTTACAGTAGTCAGCCACGCAAGCGCGAAGTGCTTTTAAATCAAACACTCCATTGACTTCATTCTATTTTTATCCGACAGGTAAATTGTTGTCACTAGTAGCTTATGTATACAGTTTGATATATATTTGGTGTGAAGTACCTTTATTTCTTCATTTTGCACATTAGAATTTTTGTTTTCATACAATTTTTTTGAACGGCATTTTTACACCATGCTTTACAGACTCATACGGTGTTTACAAAACCTGTTTTACCTTAAGTAGTACACGTAGCACTCATGCGTGTCCTTGAATAGTTTTACACTGGTTTGACAAGTTATAAATAGAACTGAATAGCATTCACCGTAAATAGAAAATTCATTGAACATTCATATTTTCTGTGTGTCTTTAAGAAAAATGTAGAAACCAGAGTGTATCTCAATACACTGGGCATTTTTCTTGAATAAATTTAGACAATTAAATAATAGACAAGTTAATTTCAAGATGAGTTTGGAAATTTACTGAAGTATATGAGTATATGATAAATCTATAGGCGAATAATTTTTTTTAAGCTCAGAGGGTTATATCAGTACACTTGTGCAACATGTTTTGAATAAGACATTCCATTTTAGGCTTTATGGTCCTCATTGCTAGCTACTGGATTCATGAAGCAGTGATATGGTTTGTTTTATTTGGAATCTTATCTAGAATTTTTTTCCACCTATACCTTGGTTATGATTATTTTTCTCAGGTTTATAGACATATTTTTGAGAGACTCCATTATTAAGTCTATTGTATTTTAGATATTCAATCAGAGATTCTTTTCCTTGGCTGTTTGTTGAGTTAAGTTTTGAACGAGACAGAGGCAGAGTCGGTGATTATCCCTTAGGTCCGCCATTTTTAGATCTTTGGTGTGACATATCACCCGGGGTAATATTTCAAACCTGGCCCGGTGATTATTATAAGACCTTATTGCCTCAAAATTTCGAAACGTTTTCAAAATTTGGGAGAAAAATAAAACCTCCAGAAAAATATTCTCCATGATTTTAATTATTAATTATGTTTGACTTAACGTTCGCTGTCATGCTGAAAAGGAATTCAGACGTTAACTTAAATATATTTAATTAAAAAGTTGTTTTACACCTAAACTTTTTTGTGCCCCCTAAGTAAATGTAATTTATTTTTATTGCATATATTTTGGCTTAACAACAGTCATGCTTACTGCCTGGTACAGCAGCAAAGGTTATTCTCGATGTTAACCCGAATATATGTAGTACTTTGGCACTAAGATTACTTTGAATTTGTTTTAGTAAAAGTAAGCTTTCATTGTTTGCCGATTTCTTTAATAACTTAGAAAGCACCGACTACTTTTTATAAAAATTGGTAAATACGTATATTTTTGGTTTGTTTATTTATTAGTTAAAATTACAAAATCAATGAAATTTGTCAGGATTAATGAGAGAAATTTTAAGGTTTGACAAGACAGTATTCAATACTGTTGCTTTATGTTCTCGATGAATTAATAATGATAAATTTTACTAGAATATGGTTCGAGCCATTTCATGAGCTGTGAATTGGCCTGTAAATAGGTGAAAGTACAATATTAGGCTAATACTGCGGGATTAGCTGCCAATACTGCGGGATTGGGGTTTTATTGTGGTTTAAATATTGTACTACCCTTGTCGGTCGTGTTCTGACAAGCTTTTATTATTTAGAATCTATATTCGCCCCAGGGTCATGATTCTCGATTCGAGATGCCAGAATGCAGGGAGGCCGGTTCTTGTTGCAGGAGGGGGTTGTGGCTCTGCCGAACTACAGGGGTACACTTATTGCAAGGTATCCAATACTAAAACGCAGGGAGGTTAATTTCTTGCTGCGGGAGGCTGTAGGGACTGGGGCTGCAACTCGACGGGTTTCATGATTTCTGTTGACAGCATTTAGTAGTCTGCTTTATATTTCAGATATTTTTTTCTTGGATTTTATGCATTTTTACTCACTCTTTTCTTTTGTCTATTTAGTATGGACGTTTTGGAGAAGTATATATATGTACTTGTCAGCTTGTAGTGAAGTTGATGATCCTCAGCGAAACTGGTAGCAAATATCTACAGGTGAAAGTACAAGAGTAACACATTGTTCTGAAAAGGAATCAACGCATCCGTATTCAATATTGGAGGAGCCTTGGAGTCTTCGGCACGTCAGTGATACATGGAGGATGGTCGTCGTGTTCGACTTGTAAGAT